AAATTCTATACATTTTTAGGAGGAATGTGGTAGATCTACTTAGGACTTAATGTGTAACAGTATCTTTGATGTACTAAATGGAGAACATTTAGTAAACAACAGTACACTGGCTCCTGTTGGGTAAAGACATGGAAGTAAGCCCCGCTATTCTTAAGTTTGTACAGGTGTAGACTCTGGAAAAAAACACAAGATACTGGCAAGTGTGATTTCTTCTGAGTTGGATGAGGGGGCAGCTTTGTGCTTTTGAACATTTTTGAAGTTGTGCATTCATGTATCTTGAAATCCCCTTCCCATGCAGATATGTTTGGCATACATTGTTGCTATAAGAGATCGTCTAGTCCTCCTGGATGAGGACTTTTCCAGGGAGCACTGAGCTATGCATCCAACCCTTTTAAAAAACTTTTAATTGCTTAATTCATTTAAAAAATTTAAAAGCCATTTATTTACTTTTTTAGTACAGGGTCTTGCTATCCAGCTTGGACTCTTAGTGATCCTCCTTTCTTAGCCTTTCCCAAGCAGGGATTACAGGTGTGCACCACCATGTTCTGTTTCAGTGGCAGGCACATGGTCCCAGGGATTGAACCTGGGTCCTTGCCCTTGCCAGGCAGCACTTAGAGTGCTGAGCTATCTCCCCAGCCCCAATTAATTAATTTTTTAAAGTAACTATTATTACTATTTGTATTTTTCATAAGGGTCTACAGGGTCTCACTAGGTAGATTGGACTCGTAGTGATTTGCTTGTGTTCCGTTTCCCAAGATCTGGCATTATAGGCACATACCACATCCAGTCTCAGTCATCATCTCAGTGTGTCCTGGGGGCAGGCCTGGCATGGCAGGCTGGGGATCAAAACCGGCTGCTGCATCTGCCTAAGCCGGTGCTTTAATCTGCTATTTGATCAGTCCTCTCAAATTAATTTTTGTGTTTTGATTTTTTTGATAGTTTTAAAGTTTTTTCACATGCATTTTTTTTTAGTTTTTTGTGTTCTGGGATACAAATATTCGTGATGGTTTTCTACTTTTTTTAGACTTTTATTGTTAAAGGAATCTCTGAAAAGTTAAGTAATTTGCCTTAGTATAGTTAACACAAACCTGATGTCTTGGGTACTTTTCTGTCATTAGGACAAAATATCCGACACAAAATTAAGGAAGGAAAAGATCTGTGTAGCTCACAGTTAGTGGAGGTTTCAGTCCATATTCACTTGGTTCCAAGGTTCACCTGGTTCTAAGGTGGAGTGGCATATGGCAGAGGGCAGCAGTTCATGGTGGAGGAAAACAGCAAAACACCAAGAGCAAATGGGAGGAGTAGTGACAACAATGGCAGCTGAGATCAAGTCTGTCTCCTGTGTGTTGCATTCAGGTTATCTGCTCCAGGCTGGGTGTAGCACTCACACCCATAATCCTAGCAGCACTCACACCTATAATCCCAGCACTGGATCATGAATTAATCACAAAGTCTAGAAACCCCTCCCAGTGACTACATGAGACTTTGGAGGAACACTTGGTACAAACCATAACACCTGGCTTTCATAAAATGAAACTCCTGATTTTTTTTTGTTTCTGCGGAAGCATAATATCTGAGGTAGATTTAGTTTAGGGGAAGACCAAATCTTGAAGGAGAGTTGATTGAGAAAACATTGTGAACCCAGAGCTCTGGTGCAAACTGGGCCTGAGGGGCTGGGAAACTCTGACCCTGAGGCAGTTGGTCTGGGGCTCCTGGCCACCCTTGCAGAGCTGCCTGCCTCATCCATAGGTATGGCAGTGGTTGGAGCCCAGTGAAGGGTGAAGGACATGTACATGGACCCAACCTGGAGACCTTACCATGTCAGTTGTATGGGAGCTATTTTTATAATTAATCACATACAAACTAATAAGATATCTGGTTGTGAAATGAGTTAGTAGCATGTTTCTCATACTAAACTTCAGGAAAGGTAAGGAGGGAAATAAAATAAGCCTCAAACTTGGGAGACATAATTATATTTGTATAGATGAATTTGTATTTTAATTTTTGCAGAAAATGGTCCCCCAACCCATATATTTAAGTTTCTTAGTCACCTAAATGATAGTTCCTGTTCCATTTCTTGTCTTTTAGATGGTCACTGTGATGCATAGCTGGTCACTATAATGCACATTGCATAAACCAATCCCCAACTGACAAGCCATTCTGCCTCTGTAGTTCCTGCTTGCTTATCCAATATGAGCCCTAGACCACCAAAGATCAGGACCTGATATTCTGGGAATGATCCTGATCAGTACCTCTTGACATAAATAAATCTGCCTCCAGTTATCCTAGGTGTTGTTTCAGTGCTTCTTTGTGCCATTGCACAATTCTATTTTAGAAAGCGGATACAGATGAATGTCCATTTTGTATCTATGTATTCAAAATGGTTAGGATAGATATATAGTTACATTCTCTTAATGAATAGAGGGATTTGTTCTAATAGTGTTTGTAAATAGGATATCATGTCCGCATCTTGTACAGCAATTAACCACTAGGAAGAATGTATGCAATGTGTTAATTGTGTTAATTACTGAAACTGTCCTACCAATTTGATTTAAAACTGTCTCATTGCTATTTTTTTCTCAATAAAATTATGGAAAAAAAAAGATTGTAAGGAGTTTTGCATTTTGATACATTACCTGATTAAGTGGGAGAAATATTTCCATTCTAGAGTGGGTCTAGAACTTAAGATGTCATAGATACATGCATGCACACACACTTTTTTCTTTTTAATTTTGAGACAGGATTTAGCTATGCACATCAGGCTGGCTTTGAACTCACTATGTAGCCTAGCCTGGCTTGAACTTTTGATCCTCCTGCCTCAGCCTCCTGATTATAGGCCTATTCCACCACACTCAGTAGCATCTCATAATTGACCTTTGGATTTACTGTGAGATCACTGGAAACGTATTGACTGAGTTGAAGCAGAGGAATAATATTACCTGATGAGTTTTTTTTTTAAAAGAGATCCCATGACTACTGAAGGTAGATACAGGAGGAACACAAATTTAATTCTAAAATACTGACATTTAAATGAGAATGCTAGTAGAAGATATGATTTAGAATGATGAATACCCATCATTTGAATTGGACATTTGGGTCAGTGGGTAGATTTTTAGTTTATTTCAAGATCCTCAATCTTTTTTGAAAGCTCCTCCTACCACTTGGTCTTGGGGAAAGGAGGAAGGGTTTGGGGCTAACTTTAGGAGAAGGGAGTAATGAATGAAAGCTATGAGGAACTTGAGAGTACAACCATTGTTTATGTGTTCTATTTAGAGTTCTGCTTTCATAGTCATCTTCGAATGTTGAATGTTTTAATGGTATGAATTTAATAAAGTAACTGTAGAATTCCTACTTACGTAGTCTTTCCTAATTCTTTCTAGTCTTCCTTTTCATACAAAAGAGAAGTGTATTGAAGATATACCTTGACATAAGAACTTTCCAGCTTCTTTTTTTTTTTTTTTTTTTTTTTTGGGAAGGGTCTACAGGGTGTTCAGGGGTCTCACTGCTAGATCAGACTTGTAGTGATCTGCCTGTTTATAGCCTTCCAAGAGCTGGGATTACAGGGGCATGACCCCACGCCTGCGTCCCAGGGGCAGGGCAATCCCCCATTCCTGCGCCTGATTGCAGGTGCTTTAGTTTGCTGAGCTGTTTGGCCTGCCCTTTTCCAGCATTAATGGAAGATTCCATCTCTTAAAAACTGCTTTTTTCTTTTAGTACTAGTGATTGATCCCAGGGTCATTTTATTTTATTTTATTTTATTGAGACAAGATCTAATCACATTGCCCCTTCTGGCCTTAAACTTGTGATTCTCTTGGGTTAGAATTCTGAGTAGCTGCAGTTTACAGGTATGTGTTACCACCCCTACTGTTATAAACACTTTTGTAAGCTCTATTTCAGTTGATCTATTAGAAAACTCTGTGTGTGTGTGTGTGTGTGTGTGTGTGTGTGTGTATTTGAGGGGCTGGGTGCAGGATTTATCACAGATAAAATATCTGCAGGTACTTCTTTTATAAAATAGCATAATAAAAAAAGTAGCATAATATTTTTTATGTAACCTCTACCTATGTATGTACTTTATGTACTTTCTGTCATCTTATGTACTTTCTGTCATCTTTAGATTAATTCTAGTAGCTGATAGGAGATAAGTGCTATGTAAAGAAGTATTATGTTATATTGCTTATAGAATGATGACAAAAAGAGTCTACACATGTTCAGTACAGATAGTTTTCTCTAAGTCTTCAGTCCTTGCTTGGTTGAATCAGCAGGTGGAGAATCCGTGGATATGGCTGGCCGACTGTATGTATATACATAAATTGTGTAGATACATTTCAGTAGATCATGGATATCACAATGCTAATGTCTGGCTACTTCAGTCAGAAATCTGGATTAAAAATTCTGTATTTAATCCTGTAATTGGTAACTATTTAGCTTTATTGGAAGAACTAGATTATAGAGAAATTATTTTTCTTATGAGTTAAAGTAGGCAATGTAGAAGGAAGTTTGTAGTTCTTTTCAGTAGAGAAACAGTTAATAATGGTTATAACAATAGAGCTGGCCAGATGGTTTAGCAGACTAAAGCTCCAGTTTAGGCAAAGTCCAGTGGCCAGTGTTCCCGGTGTGCTGAGCCGGCCCCGCCCCCAGGGCACACCTAAATGTCCTTTGAGACTGTGCGTGGCAGCACATGCCTGTAATCCCAGTGCTTGGGAGGCTGAAAACAGGAGAATCACTACGAGTCTGATCTACACAATAAGACTTTGTAGACCCTGTACTAAATACCAAAAAAAAAAAAAAAAAAAAATTATGATAATTATATTGCCAGGATTTAAGTAGTCAGTACAGTTTAGCTTGAATGTGGGGGGTGGCTAAAAATAAATATGCTGTTGTGGATATTTAAGATAAACTATATTATTAACTCTGCTGATAAAGTACATTAGACTCAGTTAAGATGGTCTTACCTTAAATATTAAAATGTTTTTATATTTCTCCTTTTCTGTTTATAGTGGCAGTCGCTCTTCTAAGACTTTTAAACCGAAGAAGAACATCCCAGAGGGTTCTCACCAGTATGAGCTCCTGAAACACGCAGAAGCTACCCTTGGCAGTGGCAACCTCAGGATGGCTGTCATGCTTCCGGAGGGAGAAGATCTAAACGAGTGGGTTGCAGTGAACAGTAAGTAGCATGCTTTCCTGTTTCTCTGAGTTAGGTTAGTAGTCTCATTGCTGGGCAATGCGAACGTTATTGTTGTTGTAGGATATAGTTAGCAACCTAGTATCGTGACACCTTCATACCAGAATCCATCTTGAGTCTTTATTGTGTTTTATTTCTGAAAATAAAGTGATTCTTTTGGTGTTGTTGTTGGTGGTGGTAGTTGTTTTCAGAGACAGGGTCTTGCTGTGTAGTTCAGACTGGCCTTGAACTCACTGAGTCGTCTAGGCTGGTCTCAACTTCACAGTGATCCTCCTGCCCAGCCTTCCAAGTAGTGTAGTGGAATTACAGGTGAGCACCACCACATTTAGCTGTGTTTGTTTTTTGAGTGTTGCTATGTATTCCAGGTTTGCCTTGAACTTGCTATGTAGCACAGGGTGTGATGTGCAGCGATCCTCCTGCCTGAACCTCTTGAATACTGGGATTACACGCATGTACCACCGTGTCTGGCTAAAAATGAAATTTTAAGAACTTGTTGTTTGTTGTCATAGTATATTATAAAGCACATTTGTTATTTTCACTGGGGTGGTATTATATGTCTGACACTTTTCTGCATAGATGATTCTGTTTCACCTTTATAACTTTGTGACACAGGTACTGCTGTCATTCCATTTTAATAGATAAAGGAGGCTGAGATAGAAAGTTCAGTAGCCAGCATAGCTTATATGGTTTGAATGACAGGCCTCATATACAGCTATATATTTCAGAGTTTAACCATAATGTTAAATTGCCTCTCTCAGTAGCATATTTATGTCACAATTGAACTTTTTTTTTTTTTTTTTTTTTTTAATGTATTTGGTTGTTGCAGGGTTTTACTACACAGCTTAGACTCGGAGTGATCTTCCTGTTTTCAGCCTCCCCAGCTCTGGGATTACAGGCGTGGGCTACCATGCCCAGGCTAGGTAGCTGGCTCAGTGCGCCCGGCCTTGGGTGGGACCAGCACAGCTTGTGGTGCTGGGGATTAAATCCCCGTCCCTGTGCTTGCCTAAGCAGGTGTTTAGTCTGCTGAGGTAACTTGCTGACCGTGAACTTTTTTAAAAAAAGAATTTAGTAGCGATTTTATGAAATTAGTAAAATATAAGGTGGTCTAACTCCTAGAAATAAGAACATGTAAGTAAAAGACATTCTTGGAAATAGAGACAGAATAAGTTGGGGAATAAAAGTTTGGGGGTTTTATGCATTAATGAAGAAATTGATGAGTTTGTATAATTGAAAATTTATATAGGGGCCAGGGAGACAGCTCAGTAGAATAAACACTTGCCTGGCAAGCACAAGGACCTGAGTTCAATCCCCAGTTCCAACGGAAAAAAAAAAAAAAGAAAGAAAAATTTATATGAATTGAATTAAAATGAGATTTAATTGAAACTACCTACTAAATGTCTAGGCTTTATGGAAAAGCAAAATTTTCATTAATACCTGATAGTATCTTGTAATTTGAAATGTTAGTGATGTATAAATTAAGCTGCTACTCACTAATAAAATTTGCTTTGCAGCTGTGGATTTCTTTAATCAGATCAACATGCTTTATGGGACCATCACAGACTTCTGTACAGAAGAGAGTTGTCCAGTCATGTCAGCTGGACCAAAGTAAGACATGGTCAATGACCAGTTCTCTTCTTTTCATTATTTAAGACCTTTATTAACAGGTATTTGCAGTTTGTTGGCTTTTTTGAAAAAAATCAAGTTGTAAACTTTTATTACAAATTGAAAATGAAGTTTTTAAAAATCTCAACATGAGGACCAGCAGATAGCTCAGTGGATTAAAGCTCCTGTTTAGGTAGACATAGGGGCCAGGGGTTTGACCCCTGGCCTCCCATGCCGGTCCCGCCCCTGGGGCGTGCTGAGAAGGTGATTGAGACTAGGTGTGGTGTGTGCCTGTAATCCTAGCACTGGGAGGCTGAAAAACAGGAAGGATCACTACAAGTCTGATCTGTGTAGTGAGACCATATAGACCCTGTGCTAAATACATTAAAAAAAAAAAACCCAAAACACCAAAGAAAAATAACCACACAAAAAACCCCTCAACTTAACCAGATATGAAACAATTTAAAAACCTTTAAAGTGGTATTGAGAGATCCAGGCTTTTTTAGAAAACACAATTGTCATTACCAAAAAGACATGCCTTTAGGTAAAAATAATAAAAACCCCATGCTGCATAGATAATGTAGATAGTTCTAGTTATCTGGTCAATGGGCAAAAAACTAGCACTTGTCTTCAGTTCAGGCAAAAAGCAAGCACTTAAGGTCTGCAGTTCCAATCTTTTGTTCATTTCTTATCGCGGGAATTTCCTCTTCATTACTTTCTTGCTGAATGACTAACCGGATGGTGGTAGAGATGTTAGGCATTTACTTAGCCACACCCTGCTCAGCCTCTGGAGCGAGGAATTCTCAGCTGGTGGATGGACTGCTTTTGTCTCTGTCATGTTGTGGTTTAGGGTTTTCTGGGCCATCTGCTTCGGTAATAGAAGTTGGAAGGTACCATTGTTGAGGTAGGTGCTGACGTTGGGTCTCCTTCATTTTCCTTATCCTCTTCATTGCCATCCTCTCTAGGCTGTCTTTGGTGAAGAGAGTCCCTACAGAATCATAGTCTATAACCTCGATACATATTCGGTCTCACTTGTCTACCTTGTTCTGCACCCTGGTTGTCAGCACCCTCCATCACTTCTCCTTGCACTGGAGGTTTGGAATACTATCCTTGACGCCCATAGGGTCTCCACATGTAGGAAGGTGGGAACCTTCACTTGCGGTAGGACCTGGCCTTTGGGATCTCTCCAATCCCTCATTCTTTTCCCCACTCTCACTATTGTAATTCTGCTGGTAATCACATGGAGGACCCCTATGATGTGGATAGTGTCTATAATGGTTATAGTCTGTAGCATTTTTACTGCCTTGAACTGGAACTCCACCAGAACCTGTAATGTTTGCTGGCTCTGCACTCTTTTCTCCTCAACATCAGACTCCAGTCTCTCATCTTCTACACTGTAAAGGTACTTCCTGGGGTTATTCTTTATGGCAGTCTGGTATACAAATATGTCTTCCTTGGTGTCATTTCTGTTGATGAAACCATATCCATTTCTTACATTGAACCATTTTACTGTTCCCAAAACCTTCCTTGCAATGATCTTGTCCCCTCCAGCAGGTGCAACATATGTGAGGCTGCCTGGGTTGCAGCTCCTCACGCTGCTTCCCCTGGTGCTGGGCTTGGTGTCAGCAGTGCTGAGGGTGGGGGTGGCGGGTGGCCGATGGCTGTTGCGTCCCAGCCTTGCTGTTCAGGGTTGCAGTGATGGTGACTAGGGCCGGCTGTGGCAGCTGCCACTCCTCCTGGGTGTGATGGTAACTAGGCCAGTGGTGGGGGTGGGGCTGCTAGGGCTCTCTCGTCTTTGTTTTCTAATTCTTAGCTAAGAAGGAGGTTTGTGACTAATTTTTTTCTACTTAGCAGCTCCTTTAATGGTTTTCCACTGACTTAATATATCAAACTTGTATTCCTTAGTTTGAGTTTTTATGATGCTCCCTGTATTATCTTCCATCCTACCTTTTTTCTGTACATGCTTGTATATTCTTTATTCAAATTAGATTATGAAAAATACCTTGCTGTTCCTTCCATTTCTTACTTTCTGAACTTTTAGTCTGTTTTTCTCCTAGACATTTTTCTTGTTTTCCATTTCTTTACCTTCTGTTAGTATACCAAATCAAGACTTACCCATCTTTAAACCATCAAATGGTTTTCCTTAAAACCTTCTGATTTCTTCAGACTAGATGTAACCTATTTAACTCTTAGTTTTTTTACCTTTATAATGATTGCATGTCTTTGCTGCATTATACTTATACTATTTGTCCTTTTTTACCCCCTGTGGTGCCAGAGATTGAACTCATGGTTGAACTTTTTCTGTAAGTCACTTTTGGTATAAGGATATTACCTAACATTTAGTCAACCATCAATAAATTTTGGTTGGACTTAATGCTTTTTTGAAAGTGGCCTTTATTATTACTGTTATCAATAATACCTATGGCGGGCTGGCAAAATAGCTCAGCAAATTAAAGTGCCTGCAGTCAGGTGCAGGGGCTGGGGGTTTGATCCCTGGGCCTGCCATGCCAGCCCTGTAGGGCATGCTGAGACAGTGATTGAGACTGGGCATGGTGGCGTAGGCCTGTAATCCCAGCTCTTGGGAGGCTATAAACAGGCAGATCACTGTGAGTCTGATCTGGTAGTGAGACCCTGAACATCCTGTAGACCCTTCCCTAAAATTATTTTTTAAATATTAATTTTATTGAGAAACAAGTAGCAATGAGACAGTCTCAAAACAGGTTAGTAGGACAGTTACAATAATTAATACATTTCATATTGTTGTCTTTGTAGTAGTCATTCATAGTACAAGATACAGATGTGATATCTTGTCCAAAGAGTTCAAACTTTCTTCTCATTGAACAAAGAGAAAGTAGCTGTATATCTGTGCTGTTTTGAATATATATATATATATATTTTTTTTTTTTTTTTTTTTCACTACAAAATGGTCCTTCATTTATATCCCCCTTTTTTGTTTACTCTTGTCAGAGATGGGTATTCCATTGCCATTCATATATTGTAGGTGCATGAATTCGACAAAGCAGTCCAGTAGTCTGTAATAGTGGTGGGTTTTCCGCATGACTGGCAATGTCAGAAGTTGTTGACTTGAGCCTTTTACAGCTCAGCTCCTTCCCTAAAATTAAACAAAACAAAACAAAACAAACCCAATGGTAACTGTTACTTATTTAATGATATCTAAATATAAGACCTTTCCTGGGTTATATATTTTATTTCTTTTTTCTTTTTTTGGTGGAACCGGGGATTGAACTCAGGCCCATTGCACTTGCCAGGGAAGCGCTTATTCCACTGAGCCATCTCTCCCGGCCCCAATCAAGACCATCACACAGGATTTTTTTTGTTTGGCGGCATTGGGGATTGAACTCAGGCCCTTGCACTTGCCAGGGAAGCGCTTATTCCACTGAGCTATCTCCTCGGCCCCCGTATATATTTTATTTCATACCACAACATTCATCACAAAAATACTGGCTCCTGAACTGTCACAAACTTTTTTTTTTTTCTTTTTTTGCATTTGGTACAGGGTCTCACTATGCAGCTCAGACTTGTAGTGATCTTCCTGTTTTCAGCTTCCCCAGTGCTGGGATTACAGGTGAGGGCCACCAGGCAGACTTGCTCACCCACTCAGGGTCCCTGGGGCAGGGCTCAGTGCACCCTGGGAATGGGGCCAGTGTGGCATGGGGACTGGGAGTGAACGTTTGCCAAAGCAGGTCCTTAGTCTGCTGTGCTATCTTGCTGGCCCTGCAAACATAATTTAGTCAAATGAACAAAGAGTTCACATTACAAAGGTATTAATAACAACTGAAGAAAGATATAGAGATACATATGAGGAACTCAAACCTAAACTGGCTTCTCAGTAAAGAAAAAGGCACAAAGCTGTTTCTTTACTTTCCCCTCTTGAATTCCTAGAGACGAACAGCTGCAGTTACTCAAAATCCAGTATCTCTGTCCCATCCTTCAGGGGCTGGGGAGATAGCTCAATAGGGCCTCAGTTCAATCCCTGTTTCTGCCAAAAAATAAAAAGAAATCTCTGTCTTTTGAGGGCTTGCCCATTAGCTCAGTTGTTTTAAGTTCCTGCTTAAGCAAAGCAGTCAGGCTTAGGATACTGTGGTTTGTCCCCCAGATCCTCATACCAGACCTGCCCTAAGGCATCCTGAGCCAGTCCAAAAAAAAAAAAAAAAAAAAAAAAAAAAAAAAAAAAAAATCCATCTATCCCATGCTTCTTGCTGTAGAACGCTTACTGTGGAGTTAGTCAGGTGTTTACAGTGGAGAGCTGTCCTTTGTGGTAATTGTTGTTTCAGGTGCCTCTTTTTGTCTTTCCTGATGGTATTTGGTTTTACATGATTTGGGTAGTTGCTCTTCAGTTTTACATAATGTGGTTGAGAGACACAGCTGTTTCCTCATTTCATCAAAGAGAAAATGAATTTCTGTTACTTGGGAAGGTTTCTTAAAGAGAAAGAGAATTTAAAAATGAAATTTCTAAGGGCCAGGGAGATGGCTCAGTGGACTGAGCGCTTCCCTGGCAAGCGCAAGGTCCTGAGTTCAATCCCTGGTTCTGCCAAAAAAAAGAAATTTCTTTTAGTACTTCTTCTGGTATTACTTGTGTTTACTTTAGATATTTAAGTTTTAGTTTTAAAAGTCAATGTTTTTGATTTTGCTGTTTCTCTACATGGTTAATTATACACTGGGGAATGAGGCAAAGCTGCCTTCTAGTAAAGCAAGTTCCTCTGGATTTATTTGAGGAACTTTTTTTGAGCACTTCACTTACCTGAAGTGCTTGGGCTGAGAGATGTTTTTTTTTTTTTTGGTGGAACCAGGGATTGAACTCAGGCCCTTGCGCTTGGCAGGCAAGTGCTTATTCTACTGAGCTATCTTCCCCGGCCCCTGAGAGATGTTTTTGAGTAACTGTGCATATACATGAGTATCTCAGGGATCAAACACAGGTCTAAGGATAGAATTTATCTAATGTTTCTCATACACCTTTATAATGGTACATCTTGATTGGCAGAAAGGCTTTATTTTGGCTCATGATTTCAGAGTTTTCAGTCCATAGTCAGTGGGCTCCAAGGCAAAAACATCACAGCAGAAGGCCATGATGGAGAAAAAAAGCTGTTTTTTAGTTATTGTGTTAGGTATTTTGTTACAGCAACAGAAACTGACCATGACAACTTAATATATGTAAACTGAAGATAATTTTATTGTAATTTTAAGTACAGTAATGTTAAGTATTTTTTGTGTACTTGATATAAGATTAAGTGTGAAATCTCCCACTTGTGCAAACTTTTCAGCATTTAAAAGATGTTTTGAAGCATTTTAGATTTTACATTAAGTGTGCTCAATGTGTACTTCGCACTAGCCTCTTACATATAGATATTGAATCTAAGCTCATAGTGCTTAGTTCACAGGTATTGATGATTATTATTAAAATATAGTGGTCTTGAAGTTTTTTTACTGTGATGACAGGATTTCAAAGGGACTGTTCTGTCATAGAGTAAACAAATGGGTGGAGGGAAGATAGAACTACAAAATGAAGGCAGTTTAAGAATAAACAAGATCTATCAAAGTAAGAGTAAACAAATGGAAGAATGAATTACAAAATGAAGGTAATTTAAGAATAAACAAGATTAGGGAATCATGATGTTCAACTTCAGAAGTATCAGCAATTGGTATTTTATTTTTCAAAAAATAAAGTTAAAACTTGATTTTTTTAAAAAGAAAACACTTCAGGGCTGGGGAGATAGCTCAGTCCAATAAGTGCCTGCCTGGCAAGTACAGGGTCCTGAGTTCAATCCCCAGCACTGCAAAAAAAAAAAAAAAAAAAAAAAAAAAGAAAAAGGAAAGAAAAGATTTCAGTATATTGAATATGATTCTTCAGTTTAATGTGGCTATTTTCATTTTATATCTGAAAATCATTAACAAGATGAAACACTTGATTATGAGGGCAAAATATTAAGGTTTCTTTATATAAACATGGATTAATTTTTTTCTTCCTTGATTGCTTCCCCCCCCCCAAGATTTCATTATATAGTTGAGGCTGGCCTTGAACTCACTATGTAGCCCAGGCTGGCCTAAGTGACCCTTCTGCCCTAACCTCCCAACTGCTGGGATCACAGGTGTGTGTGCTTTTGAAGGTCTCCAAGGGAGATTTCCCAAAACTTCTTAGCATCTCACTGTAATGATTAATTATCTTCTCAGGGAAAAGTCTTCCCATTAAAAACTAAAGTCTTTAGTACAATTTAAGCCTAGTTTTCTAGGCTGAACTGACTAAATTACAGGTCAGTGATTATAGCAAAATGGGGTCAGGGAGATGGCTCAGTAGAATAAGCACTTCCCTGGCAAACGCAAGGGTCTGAGTTCAGTCCCCAGTTCCACAAAAGAAAAAAATACCATGGGATTTTATTTTTTAATTTATTTATTTGCTACAGGGTCTTGCTACATAGCTCAGACTTGTATTCCTCTTTTTAAGTGAAGAATAATGCAGGGAAGACGTTGGTCTCTTATCTCGAAAGATGGTTAAAAGCTGTTCTCTATCTCCAAAGAAGATCAAGAAGAAAAGTAGGCTTAAATTGCACTAAAGGCTTTAGTTTTAATGGGGAGACTTTTCCATGGGAAGATGATTGATTAATCATTACAGTGAAATGCTAAGAAGTTTTGGGAAATCTCCCTTGGAGACCTTCAAAATGAACTTGACAGTTATTCCTATTGCCTAGTATTGGCAATAAGGAACTTCATAGGATGTTTTATTTACGTATTTAGGGTTATTATTTAGATGTAAGTAGTTATTATGAAATAGAAAGCATCCTTATTCTATCTCAAGATAATTTTTATTGCTTAGAATATCCTATGTGGGGCTGGGGAGATAGCTCAGTCTAAGTGCCTGTCTGGCAAGTGCAAGGACCTGGCTTTGATCCCTAGTACTGCATGCCGTCCCAGCCCCGGAACCCTGGGCCTGCTGTGCTAGCCAGAAACCTAGTGTGGTGGTGCACACTTGTAATCCCAGCACTTGGTGAGGCTGAGACAGGAGGATCACTACAAATCTGAGTTGTGTAGCAAGACCCTGTAGCAAATAAATAAATTTAAAAAAAATCCCAAGGTATTTTTTCTTTATAAATTCTGATATTTCCTTTGCTATAATCACTGACCTATGATTTAGTCAGTTCAGACTTTGAAGAGGATAGAAAAAAAGATTGATTCAAAGAATTAAGGAGCAGAAGTAACTTTATAGATTAAAAATTAAATGTTAATTCATTTTAGCGATTTTCATAACTGGAGTTTTGGTTGTGTTTCTTTTAACTTAAAATTCAGGTTGTGTGTGTGTGTGTGTGTGTGTGTGTGTGTGTATGTGTGAGAGAGAGAGAGAGAGAGAGAGAGAGTGCTGGCAATTGAGATCTATTGTGGTTTATGTGAGACCCTTTTAGACTTTTTGTTTCTTGTTTTTTGAGGTAGGGTCTCACTATGTAATCCAGGTTTGCCTTGAACTTGTACTGATTCTCCTGCCTTAGCTTCCTGAGGGATGGAGGTTTCCAGTTTTTTAGCTGGCAAAATTTTTCTATTAAACTTATTTTTTGTGAGAGTAGGGAAGTGTCTTTCATTTAAGCGTGCCTTGCTCTTAATATTAAATTCCTTATGTGATAGGTACACACTAAATGTTAACTTTTTTAAATAAAAGATCATGTTCTGTGAATACCCAAACCTAGATGCATCTTTGAGTGGCAGGTTTTCTTTAAGTGAATATTAAGCTCCTCAGCCAGTGATAATGGCTTTCATTCTTATTTTTGTCAATCTTTCTTTGGAGTTTCTGTGTCATTCTCTATCCTTTACACAAAAGCTTCAAGTTAGAAAGAATTGTACTGCATAAGGCAAAGTACTTTTTAAGGCAGCAGTCCATTAAATTGAATGATATAGAACTAGGAGTAAGCTAGTTTTTCTACTATAATAATATATAATTCTCAGTATGAGGGAAAGCTGGGAAAGAAATTTCAGACGTACAAAGAAAGTGTAAACATAAAAGGTGAGTTTGTGTGGTCTGCTTGGCTTGGATTGTGATAGTCATTTACTGGCAGTTTAAAAATATTGCATGTGTTTATTTGGAGGAGCAGATTGTTTAAAACTTGTATGTACAATATATATATATATATAGAATGTAACAATAATTGTACTCTATTTGATATTCTGAGTGTTTTTTATCTTTCCATTGTAGATATGAGTATCATTGGGCAGATGGAACAAACATAAAGAAACCTATTAAGTGCTCTGCACCAAAGTATATTGATTACCTGATGACGTGGGTCCAGGATCAGTTGGATGATGAGACATTATTCCCATCAAAAATTGGTATAATAATTTTATTTAATTGGGATCTATTGTGGTTTATGTGATTTCTAGTCATTTTCACTTTTCCCACCCTATCTAGATGGAGAACTCTGCAGGGCTGTGTTGACGTATGTATGTGTCACAGTTTTCAAGAAAGGCACAAAGTTTGTTAACCTACTCATAAAGTAAGCAAGCTCTCCTGTGTAAATTTTTTTTTTTTTTTTTTTTGAAACGAGCATTGAACTCATGCCCTTGCACTTGCCAAGCAAGCGCTTATTCTACTGAGCCATCTCCCCAGCCCTAAATTGTTTTTTTTTCATCCTTGAATATTTTTGAATCCTTACTAGTTGAAAGAATAGGTGCATTAGAAAATAAAATGCTTAGGCATTTTACTTTTTAAGTATTTGGTGATTCTCCTGAGTAAAATATTACTGAACTTCTATTATTTAATAATTGTGAAGAGGAAATGAACCCTTCCAGTAGAAGGTTTTATATAGAGGTTGTTCCTATTCCAGAATTACAGGATGTTAGAGTACCTTTCAAAATAGTTCTGGTTGTATGCATTTATGATAAGAGTGTCCTATTTTTTTTTTTTTTTTTTTTAAGGCAGGGTCTTACAGGCTAGCCGTGAACTCACTATGTAGTCTAGGCTGGTCTCAACCTCAGTGTGATCCTCCTACCTTAACCTCCCAAGTGCTGGGATTATGGGCATGCACCACCACACCTGGCTCTGCTTTATTTTTTTTGTACCAGTTTTATTATGAACATTGAGACGAGCCTCCTTATACTTTTAAATGATAAAAAGATGAAAGATCTAACATAGTAACAAACTCTTTGTTTATGTTATGGAAAAAGAGAGTGGGTAGCAGGTAGGCAACTAATAGACTTTGCCACATCAGAATTAGTTCTTACCTGAGGAAAAAGTTTGTATGCTTTTATCTAGTTTTATAGTTGTGACAAATGGAGTTTGATTTGGTGACCCATAAAATGAATACTATGGAGCTTGAAAACAAGAAGAAAATACATTTTTAAGGATTGGTTTGTTATCAAGTTTGAATGACACTTGCTTTTTTTATATTTATTTTTAAGGGAAGACTTGCAGTAAGGAATTATTGACATTTAGACAGTTACCTTCTCAAACAGTACAACTGTTTCCTGAAAAAAGTTAAGAATTTGCTCTTTTATTAGAATAGCTTATTTATTTATTTATTTATTTATCTATTTGGTACAAGGTCTCTCTATGCAGCTCAGACTTGTAGTGATCCTTCTGTCTCAGCCTCCCCAGCACTAGGATTACATGCGTATGCCACCATAGTGGGTTTCAGTGGCCACTGGGCTGAGATGGCATCAGTACCAGGGATCAGACCTGGGTCCTTATGCTTGCCAAGCAGAAGCTTAGATCATGGCGCTATCTCCTCAGTTATAGGGTCTTACTATGCAGCACAACTCATTGTGATCTTCCTTTTTTCAGCTTCCCCAGTGCTGGGATTACAGGTGTATGCCAATATGCCCAGACTGGCTGGCTCAGCGCACCCTGCTAGTGTAGCATGTGGTGCCGGGGATTAAAAGTCCACTGAGCTATCTCACCGGCCTTAGAACAACTTTTTTTTTTTTTTTAGAACAACTTTTTGACTGTTTTATTCTTTCAGTTTTTGGAAGAAGAGTGTGGTAGAGAAGACAATATAGTTATTATTTGAATGTTTTAAAGATTTAAAAAAAATGTTAATCATTTTTGGACCTTTTAAAATAAATGTGCTGTTTTCTAAGACTCTCTCTCTCTCTCTCTCTCTCTCTCTCTATATATATATAT